ATTAAACAATAGGTTGTCACCTAAATATGCAACTACTCCCCGTATATATAGTTGATGATAGGCTGTCAAGGTAATTTATTTTTAGAAAAAATAAAATTTAAACAGTGGTCTAAATTTTCAATGATCTAATAAATATATGAGGATTGGGGACATAACATAAACTACTTAACGGATTGGTAGTTCTATTGAGAGAGAGAGGGAGCAAAGATCATACCATATTTGTTGGGGTTATGAATCACATCAGCTACAACATCATATGCATCCCCAAATCTATAGGTAGCATTTGGTAAATGCAATGACAAATCTTTCAAGAGGTTGCTTGCTGCTTTGTTGAATTGGAAAGCAATGTTGTTTACTTTGGTTTGACAACCTCCAGTTATGCCTAGCACACGTTCAAGGGGAATGCAACCCATGGGTCCTAGCCCAAAAAATACCAATTGCCTTACCCCATACCCATGCAATACCTGTAAGAAGTGCAATGATATATGAATCACACTGTTTTTGTGCTAATTCTAATGAAAACTTGACAAGGTTGAACCTATAAAATTTTGTTATTTAACATATTGAAAAAAGCAGTTTTTTTTTTTTTAGCCAACAAACCAAAAAAAGAAATTGGTTATTTAGTGACTAATCAAGCTAGCCCAAACTGATTATGTAAAAGTGCTTTTACACATAGGAAATTAGAGCTTTTATACAAAAACTGATACTTGAGAGAGTAGAATGGCAGACCAGGATTCTTGTAGCTGATCCAAAATAATTGAGAAATTACTCTAATGATTATGATGATACAAAAATTGGTACTCTGCCCACTAGAAAAATTGAATTTTTGGTCGATATCAGATTTGGACCATTCATTTTATTCTTCCATAGATTGTGTAGATTTCAAGACTTTCTAGAGCTCCAAAATAAATCAAACTTAAGATGAGGTGATTCTAAGGGTGCTTGGAAAATTTCTAGCTGCCCCAGCATTATTTTTTTTTTTTTTCTTTTTTAACTTGCCTGCTAGGTTGAGCACGCTAAATTTCGCAAAATTTGGCCCCTAAAAGTGATTCTAGATAGGATTTTACCTAAGGGAGCAAATATACAATATGCCCCAATACAAGCTTCATAAAATTTTGACTTAAAAGGAAATAGAAAATGAATTGTATAATAGATTCATGTAGTCAGCTCCAAATAATTAGGATAAAGCTCGTGCAATGATGATGATAAAAAAATAACAAAGAAAACATGCAACCTCCTGCTATAGATCGGTACACATACTATTAGTTGTTGTCTGAGGGTACTCATCAGGTAGTCTATGAATTGCGTTGTTGTATAGGTCCATGAGTCCTTGTAAACAGGCATTAGGTAGTTGTTTATGAAGTCATTGCTTCCCAGGGCCACCACATATCTTGAATTTGTGAAGAATTCCATTGCTGCTTGGCGACCTATTTTCTTTGAAACCATTTGCTGAGTGCCCTCAAATAGCTCTATTTGTTTCCAAAGGCAAAACTTTTGAATCTTCAAACAAAGCACAAATGATAAAACTTACATAAATTAACCTGTGTAGCTCTTTTTGCTGGAGAGAGTAAGTCTCTTTAGGGGTGTAAATAAGTTGGGGTCAACCTTGACCCTGACCTTGACCCTGACCCATTCCCATTCCCGAATCAACTGGGTCTAGTTGTTGTGCTTGGAAGCATTAAATCCGATTTGGTTGATTTTTGACAAATAAAGTACGAGAAAAAAGATCGAATAAAAACAAGCAAAAAAAATAAAGCAGGAAAAAAATAACAGAAAAAAGAATACCAAAATTTACGTAGTTCGTCACAGATGTGACTACTTCTACGGGCAAAGACGATTGATGTTTTCTACTTGAAAGAAAAAAAAATTACAAGGCACTTACTTGAGAGAACTAGAGACACATAGCTGAATCTCCCACCAAGCTTTTTTCTCTCTACAGTTTTCTCTCTAAAAAACCCCCAAAAGTGTCTGCTTTATTTTTCCTGGCTTTGTTGCTTGTTTTTTTTCTATTCTTTTTCCTCATACTTTATTTGCCAAAAATTAACACGTCGGATTTAAAGCTTATGCATACAACACTAGTTGGGTAGTCTAAGCCTAACACATACCGGACCCAACTGGGTCCTAATTGGATGGTATAAGTCGGGCCCAAGTTATTATACTTGGATCGGACCTGATATGGCCATGGATGGAGCGAACCCCATACCCCACCTGTAGGGTCCAATATTCAGGCGTGAATCAAGACCTAGGTCGGGTTGAACCATCAGGTCAGTGGGTTGATTGAATTGCCACCCCAAGTCTACTTTATGCTCCTCTAGGAGTTCATGATTAGCCAAATTATTTTTGAGAGAGAGATAGAGAGAGAGAGTACTAGTAGTTGGGAAAAAGTTTATATAGGGTTTCAACCTCGAAATGTAGAACTACGGCTGCACCTAAAAAATCGATCGGAAAGGGTTGTTTTAATGTTGAAAAACCTCTTATTGATCATCTCGACATCGAAATGTATGACTATGTAAAATAAAAAGCTTTTGAGCATCAGAAAATAGTGCATCTTACAACATATTATCTAGACCGTCCATTTTCAAGACTTTCATATGTTTATAGATCTACTTGATTTTGACTATTTTTGGAGTTTAAAATTTTATAATTTTATGTAAAAATAGATTTTGAGATAATCTTAAAAATATTTTACATCAAAATTATATGTTATGATAAAATTTGAAGGTGCACCTTAATTGGATTGTTTAAGGTTGCAACCTTATAGAAACCACGGCCAGTTTTAGATGACACTTACAAACCATTGCCCTGTCTCGTTTAGAATCCCTCCTCCACCTGAAGCAAAGTTCACCCCCTTTTCTAGTATCATGTCAACTGTGAGATTGGGGTCAAGAAATGCAGGAGGCCGAGGCAGACCCATTTTGTCACCTACAAACACCCAATTTTTCACTAAGCTTCATCTCATGCATTTCTAATTATCAATACATATATTAAACATCTGTTTTTAAAAATAGCTAAGAATGATATAACGCCAGAATACATTCCACTGAAGATGCCTTAAAAAGGGAATTTTATCAAATTACCTACAAGATTTGGGCTGTTTAACATCAGACCTATAGTTTTCTATCTAATTTCAAATTGGGCGTCATTCGTTTGATCAAATTTCAAATAACCTATCTAGCATCATAATGGGTTTTGAAATTATTAAAATTACCTACTATAAAATGTAAGGTAGTTCAAATTTTAAATGTATATCGTATAATATGAGATCATTTATTTTTGGTAAAAAGAGGTTACGCTTAATTTTAGCCATTAGATGCAAAATCCAATAGATTGAAGTGTGTCACAATATTCTACAAATTTTATGTTGTACCCAATTAATAACACATCCTCAACCAACCGATTTCACATCCGACATACAATAATAATTCTAACCTTCTTATGTAAAAAATAAATAGTCTGATTATATGTATTTCCTTTATTGAATTTCCTATTTACAAATGGCTGACATGATTATGATGTTAAAAAGTAAAAATACGAGGCAGTGCAGTATGATGTTTCTAGAATTAAAATCGGTAGGGGCCGAAGCTCGAGTGCCTCTAGCTTTACGGGTGGCAACAGGCCGGGTGTGGGTTCGGCTGGACCATGACCCAGACCCAAACTTAAAAAAAAAAGTATAGGATTCAGACCCAACTGGACCCGGGACTGGATCTAGACATATCCAAAAATAATAATCATATATATTTAAATATTATGTTAAATACATACATTGTTTAAATATTAAAACTAGATATACAATTATATTTAATTAAATATTATTAAATATTATATTATTTTAAAAAAAATACTTATATTTGAAGGTGCGCTTTACTTTGATTGTTTAGAGCCTCGGCTCTATAGAAACTGCACCCTTATTTATATACCAATACTATTCAGGTTGGGTCCCAGTTGTGTCCACATGGACCCAAATTCAGACCCACCAGATCCCATTGTTGGACCCAAACCCGAACTTGGGTCAGGTCTAGGCGTTGGGTCCCACATCGGGTCTAGGTCCATTGCTATCCCTACCTGTCTTGACCGTACAGGTAATATTCAACATTACAAGAAAATAGGAGACTCGAGTGATTCCCAGGTATTAAAACCCAACTCACTTGGCTCCTGCCCAAGTCTGCTTGGTGATTTTTTTAGGACGGGAAGAGTTAAAACAAGAAGCTAACAACCTTCACCCCACACCCCTCTCTCTCTCTCTCTCATGTGTGAGCTAGGGTTGCCACTAGCTGGGGCTGGGCCAAGCCAGTGTTGCTGCCAAACCAGGCCGGGCAAATGGACAACCCAGTTTTGGCTTAGTTTGAGCTTGGTCTAATAGGAATTTTAAAATTACTTACCAAAAAAATAATAATTAAATTAAGAGGCCACAGCAAAAAAACTTCACTAAGCAAGGCCGTGGCAGTAAAGGCCCTAGCTAGGGCTAAGGGTGGAATAGGCCAAGCTTAGGCTAGGCCTTAGCCCCACCCTAGTCCCAACAAGGTTGGCCTGAGCCAAGCCCAGCCTTGATGGGGCCAAAGAGCCTTTGGCTGTGTCAGGGCCGGACCAAGCCAAATACAATAAAAGTAAACCAAAAGGAAGACAATAGAAACTATTAGGTTCGGGCCAGGCAGGCCCAATATCGGACCTGGCGCAGAGGCCATGATGGCTCTACCTTGGGCCACATTTTGCATCCCAGACCCTTGTTTCTTAGGTCCCGGCCCATCAGGCCAGCAGCACCGGGCCAACCAGCGTAATTGGGGCCCGGGCCTTTAACAAATTTTATGGCCTGGCCATGCCATGGTTAAAACTTGGCGAGCCCACCATTTCCAACGGAGAGCCATTTGTTATTGTACAGGAGAGACCTACCTATTATATCGGCAACAGTGCGCCCATTTGTGTATCTGCCATTAGGCAACCCATTTCCAAAATCGATTCCATAGTAGGGCAAATTGGCCTTGGCAAGGCTCCTAGGCAAGTAATTGTTGTTCCCAACATCAGAGAGTGAGTCCCCAAAGATGAATTGGACAATGGCACCCTTTGCATGCTCACTTATTATAAGAAGAAGAATCATCAGAATCGCCATCTTCATCGCCTCCATGCTCACTTTTTCTCTCTCTACAACTGCCTAAGGCCTGTGTAATGGAACATGGTCATATTTAAACATGGTGAGAGAAGCAATGGAGTGGGAAAACTTGCGAGTGTGGAGTAAGGCATGAGATATGTACAAGGTTTTGAAACATGTTTAATGGCAAACCTTGGCAAAGATGAGAGAGAGGAGTTGTACCAACCGTTACAATTCAATATCTAACGTACCTAAATTAGGAACCCAAAGTAAATGAATGCCCTACTCATGTTGAAAAATGAGAAAGAATAAGAGAGAGAAAAAAAAAAAGAGGAGTTGACGGATACACCAGCTATTGAACACTTTGAGACGATGCACATGCGAGTGAGGACAATGAAATGAAAACAAAATAGGTTGAAACTTGAAAGGCTCTTACATGAAGTAATGACCAAAATGCCTCTAGTTAATTTTTTTTTTTTGATAGTTCAGTCGAGAAGGGACCTCTTATTCATAATAGAAATGGAGTTCAAGATATCATATTGTAGCACCTTGGTACCCTGACCACGGACCATTTAGCCTTGAGCCTATTCCTATACCCCATGTATTTTAATATTGAGGTGCTTAATATTAAGGGTTACCAAAATCCACCGCCAACCAACCTAGTCTTGGTATCCCCTCCCACGTATATTGATTATATATTTTGCGGATGTTAGTAATTTGTTCTCTTAATTGGATGCCCAAGATTTGTCTTATAATTTTTAAGTATAAGGTAAGTTATTTTTAAAAGGTTGGAATAACCTTTAACCATCGAATGTGAAAATCTAATAATTAAGGTGTATCACACAATTTGATAAAGTTTATTTTGATTTTTGTGCCCAATCAATCACGTGCCCTTAGTCGTCCATTTCCCATCCAATGATCAATAATGATTATAACCTCCTTGTATTAAAAATAACCAGTCTTATTGTATACTTTCGCTAATTTCATCAAGTGCAAATAATAGAAAAATATTTGTCATTGCAATAAGGGAAAAGTTTATATAGAGCCGAGGCTCTAAACAATCAAATCAGAGCCAACCTCAAAATTTTCATTAGAAGATATTGTTTTAATGCCCAAATATCCTCAAATTGATCATCTCGATATCAAGATGCATGGACATGAGAAAAAATGGATTTCAAGTTTTGAAAATGATGTATTTTGTAATACATTTTTTTACCATCAATTTTCAAGATTTTCAAGTTTGCATATATATGTCGATCTACACTATTTTTGAAGCTTTGAACTTTATAAATAAATATCAAAATATATTTTAAGTCTATCACAAAGATTTCTAGTGTTAAAACCACATTTGTCAACGCTATTGGAAGGTAGGCTCCAATTTGATTGTTTAGAGCCTAGGCTCTATGCAAACCGCACCTTTGTAATAATTTGTTGTATTGGTTTTTGTTGAGATGACTCAGGGCCGTTCACCATCAATTTTCAAGTGTTAACACATTCTACACCTTTTTTTGAGCTTGAAATTTCCTAACTAGGGTAGTATATTTTCTAATCATCACAAGGATTTTCAATATTAAAACTGCATTTTTACGAAGGTTTTGGGGATGTAGCCATCAACATTTTCTTTACAAGGCCTAGGCCTTATGGTAACCACACGCACACACAAAAGGGTGCTGAACTTGCGGTCTTGCTTTATATGTAATTTGGTTGTATACAAGGCCCTACTTGTTTTTAAAAATAGTTTAGAAATTTGTTTTTTGACGGTATTATTGGGGTATCATTGAGAATGAAAACCACAACATGGGGACAATGTTGTGGGGCGTGCTACCACTACAACCCCAATCCCTTTCGAGGAAAGAACGTGAATCTTAAATTTAAAAATGCTCAATCCACATCACAATATTTGGTAAACAAATTCCCTATTGAAAATCTAGCTCAAGCACCTTTGTAATGACCTTCAAATCTATTCTTGCCACTAACTATAGAATTTGAAGCACTCCAATGGTCTAAGATCAAATTGATTTATGAAGACTAAAATATATGTTCTAGAAAAGGTTTTATAAGTAGATATCAATTTTAGTGTTTGAATTTATTTTTCTTAAATCGATGATTTTCAAGGTTGAGATGATCAATTTGCAAGATTTTTATTAGCAAAATTGCATTTACCGGCAAGATTCAAAGTAAAGGTTGCAAAATACTTTCCCATTTCTTATTGATATAAATCATTGTCACATTAAACCGTTAACATAAATCTCAAACTAATTTGTGTGGCGATCTAAGTTTACACACACATATATATATATATATATATATATATATATATATATATATATA